ATATTAACTCCTATAAAATTTCCTCTGGTTTGGTTGCTTTCAACATGGCGGCCACGCCGGAAGTCGGCTGACATTCTGGCACACTTTTTACCCTTGAGTGAACCTTCTGCTCTATATCTATTCTGTGCTAAAAAGGAAAAGGTGTGAATTTGAACAATTTGGCCGCTAGGCCGTGGAATGATGTTGTGCACTGATATGAGAGGGTGCACTATACGACTTTTACGTTTTATAAGTATTTTCAAGATGCTGTATAACTTGGAGTGCCCTAGCCAACTAAGACGTTCAGATTCAGACGTTGCATGCACAACAGAAAGTTGAGCGATGATCTTGCGAAGGTGAACAGTGCAATACCTCAATCAACATTCAAGTATGCTGGTGCTAAAGAACTGGAACTCTTAAACATTAGAAATATGATATCCTTCTCAAAATTAAAACATAAGTCTCATATTTGTAACGTATAAGAATATGCATGTTTATATTTTAATATATAAAATAAGTGTGACCTTGACAATTGTAATCACTGTTCTCCCGTTAATATACTAGCTGCTGATGGGATTTTTAACAGTTTAAATAAAGTCTTTATTATTATTTATTATTATTTTTTAAATCTAATCACAACCATGCTGAGTGAAACATGGAGAGAGAATTTTATTCGTTATTTAAATCAGTCGAAATGCTTACAGGAAACGTCCACTGGAATGTCGAATATAAAAAACTCTATTATTGCCTCAGATTATTCCCGAGAATTTCAATATTTTTCTTTTGAAGAAGGCTAAAGTTATCGGGATATCGGTATAATAAAGTTAACAATTTCCTCTTTCCTTCGCGGTCTGTTCATAGCGAAAAATAAATATTCTACAATTTATCTTTATATTTTGTTAAAATTATAATTCATGTCAATTAAGAGAAAAATAAATTGTTGTTTTTATTGTTGTTATTCGATGTCCATATTGTGAGGAAATCCCTAAATTTTATTTTACGACGTTGTAGAGAATGGCTTCGTCTTCACAAACTCTGAATGACCAAGCCAATGGTGGGAGACTAAGCAGACTTTTGGTAAATAAAGGAACACAAGCATTGAGAGCGGTATTCGACTTCACGTATCGTTCATCCACTTTAACTGCAGTGTTAAACACAAACAAAGCAATACTTCAAAAACTGAGGTACAAGGTGATAAATCCTTCACAATGGAAACTCTTGTATCCTTCTTCAGGTCCGCCAGATTCGCAAAATTTTGATGTGACTTTGTTGACTGTACTTTTGCGAAACATTTGTGGATTGACCCGGCCAGCAAGTGGATGGGATGCTTTGCCTCCAGATTCTGACACGTCCGTGGCAGCTAACATAGCGAGGATAAAATTTTATAGAAATCAGGTTCATGCTCATATTACGACCACAGAGATTGCTGGCAACGAGTTTGAGAACTTGTGGCTGAAAATATCTAAAGCATTGATTGGTCTTGGAATTCCCAAGTCTGAATTAGATGAATCAAAAGAAGCTCCTCTCAGTCTGGAAGAAGCTGGTTGTATCCAGCTGTTGGAAGATTGGTGTAAAAGTGAGGCAGAAATCAATGTTGACGTCAAGGAAATCCTAGCAATAATTAAGGAACAGCGTATGCAAATATCTCGTGAAAATGAAAACGTGGATCGGTGGTGAATAAGCTGGGCAAATGTGATTTCAGTGGGATCAGAAGAAATCTCAACAATAAGTTTTTACCAGGAACAAGGCAATGGCTTTTTGATGAACTGAATGCTTGGTTTACTGATAAAAATTCTGATTCTACTGTAATCATTCTGACCGCAGGTCCGGGTGTTGGAAAGAGTGTTTTCGCAGCCGAGGTTTGCCGAATGTACGCCGAACAAGGACAGCTGGCAGCTTGTCATTTTTGCCAGTTCAACATGGCAGATCGCAGAGATCCACGCATGATAATCGAGTCCTTGGCCAGCAACATGTGCGACAATGTAGAAGGTTTCAAAGCTAAACTTGATGATCAATTGCAAAGACGTCATTCCGGAGAAACAATATTAGATGCATTTCGTGTTCTTTTAAACGATCCTCTATTTGCCCTGGAAGAGCGCGAACCAATGCTATTGGTTATCGATGCACTGGATGAATGCGCGGTTGAAGGAAAAAGTGAATTTTTGGAGTTAATTTCGGAAGAGTTTCCTAAACTACCCCAGTGGATCAAAATCTTGATCACAAGCAGACCAGAACTACCAGTGAAAGAAGAACTACACCATCTCAATCCCGTGCAAATTACCCCTCATGATACGAGAAACGAAGAAGATCTCCAAAACTATCTTCGAAATTTTTTATCACCTATCTGTCATGATGACAAAGTCCTTGAGTCATTATCTCGGAAATGTGAAGGATCATTTCTTTTCGCATATTTCACTCAATTAGAGTTGAAGGAAACAACGACACAGCTAACGACACAAAACATTTCCGAACTTGTTCCCAAAGGCATAGGTGGTTTTTACCTAAAGCAATTTAAGCATTTAAAAGATCAACTAAATAACTTTGGTTCATCGGAAGTCAAGTTAAAGCATTTTCTTCAAGTCCTTGTTGCGTCTAAAGGCCCACTGCCATTGAGTTTATTGCCCGAGTGTCTAGGGTTGCCTGATGATATCGAGTACGAAGTACGTGAGTCAATCATTGGAATCATTTCCTCGATTTTGCCTGTTTACGACAATTGTTTAACTGTTTATCACAAGTCACTTCGTGATTGGTTGATGTCCGATGGTTATAAAGAACATTCTTTTACTCTTGATTCCCACACTGGGCATGAGTATTTATGGAGAATTTGCAAGAAAGAGTTTGATCAAATTATTTCATTGAGTACGTTCTCAAGCTTTAAGGCATCTCCGATGACAATATATGCTCTGACTCATGGAATTTCTCATATGATCCAATCTGGCGGCAAAACAAGTTACCATTTGTCAGTTGATGTAAAAATAGTCCATGCCAGCATCACGAATCAGAAAGACTGTTTTAAAATGGAATGCGAATGGAGGGAAATCGTTGATAATTCACTTTCAAATTTAAGCGGTGAACTGTTACAGGAATTGGACTGGCATATCAATCTTTTCGAAAGTTTCTCGTGGTACAGAAGTCCCGCTGTATATTATTTGCAATCTGTAGCAAATAGAATCAACTTCAGTAATGAAACAAGATCACTTGCTAGATCATTGTTGGAGCAGGGGCATCAGTTTTGGTTTGAAGATTTGGACACTACAGAACTAAGAAACCATTTTTACAAGTCAGTTTCCTTGCGAACGAATGTCACGTGTATGTGTGTATCATCCAACAAACAGCTTGTTGCAGCTGGATATAAAGACGGATGGATTTCAATTCTCAGAGTGCCAGACTTCCAAGAAGTACATACCTTTGATACTATACCGGAATCTAATGCTTGTCGTTTCATCTTCCTTGTATATGAACGGGGTTACACAACGAAGGTCTCTGGTACTCCGTTGAGGTCCTGTTCATTTTCGCCATCAAGCGTCAGGCTGGTTACTTGCGATGGTTCAAAAAAGGTAAAGTTATGGGATGTCAACAGTGGCAACCTATTAGCACGATTGCAAGCTGGAGGACCTGTTGATTGCTGCTCCTTCAGTGAATGTGGTTTGTTTATTTTAGCGGACAAAGCGTGGCGGCATGGTCAAAACGAAATGGATTTATTCACTGTGTGGAATGCATTAACCCTACAAAGAGTTGATCGACGCAATATTCAGCAAAGAGCGGATCAAGGCAATCGTTACAGTTCGTTTAGGTTTCTACCCGATAGGAATAATAAGAGCGAACTTTTACTGTCCCGTAACGGTCATTATATTGATGTATTTCAGTTACCCGATGCGCTTCCCCTTGCTCGGCTATACGAACGAGTTTCCTCACTTTCACCTTTCGTACCACTGGATATCACCACTAAATACGGCCACTGGCGCGACTGTGTCTTGCACCATACCAATGAGTCAATACAGTACACTGAAGTTGATCAGTTAGAGAAAGTAAGAAATCGAGTCTATTCCAACGAGAGATGTTCGTGTAAGTTCGAAGAAAACAGACCTGGTCCCGTTACAGTTCAAAAACTATACGTGGTGCCATTTTTTAACAAGTTAAATATTTTCAGTGTTGCCGATCAGCCTTCAATGTCGATTCAGCCTTCGTTCGTTTCAGAACCGTGTGTCATTTCGTGTTGCTGTTTCTCACCAAACGGCTCTTTCCTGGCAACTTGTGCAAATGGTGCTCCTCTTTCCGTTCTTGTTTCCGTTCTTGCAAATGGTGCTCCTCTTTTCGTTGTATGGGACACTAATCTTTGTGCTGTCATACAAGTTTTGCGATTCCCTCTGGTGCGCGCAGTGGGCTGCTAGTGGTCAGAAAGTCTGCTTTGGATATATGATGGTGGCCTCGTGAAGATACCCATCTCCAACGGACGAACTTTGGACCCATCAGGCGCACGAAGGGTTAAGATCGATTGGGAACCCAAGGAATTGCTGACCTTTTCAGATGTGCTAATTTTCATCGACCAAGAGAATTCTGTCAATGTGGCAAGAATTATGAACGGTGAGTTGCAGTATGTGGAGAAGTTGCCCGTTGATAACCCGATTCTATGTGCGGCAGTATCACCTTGTAACTCAATCATTCTTATGGCTAGCTCGGAATTAACTTTTCACGTATGGAGAAAGGATCAAACCTCACAGCCTCTTCACTGGGTAGCTTCAAACACTGGAAAACTCTTTTCCCGTATGGAAGGCAGTAAAGAAAGCGTCTTTAACTGCAAATGTTGCATCACAAGCGACAGCACTAAAGGAGTTTTGGCGTTGTATTTTTGTGAAAGATTGATCACAAAGTATCCCGTATTATATTATTTCATTCTTGACGATTTAAACTCGAAGATCAAGAAGAGGATGATTCAATGCCATAATATCATGCTTGAAAATATCTCAAATTTGGGCGAATTATATGTCGGCAATTCGTATTGTATTGTCGTTGAATACGGCAGGGATCCCTGGTTCGGAGCATTAAGATTAGCAACTGCCGAATACGCAGCAGAATGGAAGATCTTTCGTGAGTTACGTTGTTTCCCACTCATTGGAGCGCATTCTAAAAATGATCTTGTTGCTGTTATCACACAACGTCCTGCTAGTGTTCAGTTTTTAAAAATTGTCGTTCCAGAGTGATGAATAATTTCTCGCTTTCCACATGAAAAACCTGACATTTACAACCGAAGGTAAATGCGGTTCCATCAATTTAAATAAGACCATCAGGAACTAATAACGTTTTGAGAGAATGGAAACGGATACTGGGGATGTTGTTCTTCCTGTTCATACGAAGACTTTAAAAGTGATATCTAGTCAGTTTTGCGCATACTTTACAAAGTGACACAGCCTAGACATAGGACTCAAAAACTATTTATCAGAATTTTTGAACGTCTCACTCGATATAACTAATAGACCTAACCGTTTATTCACTTTTGACCTAATGACCTCGTTTTCGTGTTTGCCAGTTTTGGCATGACAGGCGCACATGAAGATTATATTCCCATGTTTCCTTCACGATTTGGTTCCTGGTTGATCTTAATCCCAATAACAAGTAAGTTCTTAACCCTTTTGTGCATGAAACACAAGTAAATACCTGACACGAAAACGAGGCCATTGGGTCAAACGTCAATTAACGGTAAGGTCTGTTGTTGAAGGAATTTGTAGATGGAAATTTTGAGTGGAATTTTTATACATTTTTTAAACCTAACCAGGAGCGGTTGTGAAAAATACAACTATAGATCCTCTGGCAGGGATCGAACCTGCGGCCCTGCGATTCCGGTGCAGAGCTCTAACCAACTGAGCTACAGAGTCCAGTTGTCAAGCTCTAACCAACTGAACTACAGAGAGACAGTTGTCGAGCTCTAACCAACTGAACTACAGAGAGACAGTTGTCGAGCTCTAACCAACTGAGCTACAGAGAGACGGTTGTTGAGATCTAACCAACTGAGCTACAGAGAGACAGTTGTCGAGCTCTAACCAACTGAGCTACAGAGAGACAGTTGTCGAGATCTAACCAACTGAGCTACAGAGAGACAGTTGTCGAGCTCTAACCAACTGAGCTACAGAGAGACAGTTGTCGAGCTCTAACCAACTGAGCTACAGAGAGACAGTTGTCGAGCTCTAACCAACTGAGCTACAGAGAGACAGTTGTCGAGCTCTAACCAACTGAGCCACAGAGAGACAGTTGTCAAGCTCTAACCAACTGAGCTACAGAGAGACAGTTGTCGAGCTCTAACCAACTGAGCTACAGAGAGACAGTTGTCGAGCTCTAACCAAATGAGCTACAGAGAGACAGTTGTCGAGCTCTAACCAACTGAGCTACAGAGAGACAGTTGTCGAGCTCTAACCAACTGAGCTACAGAGAGACAGTTGTCGAGCTCTAACCAACTGAGCTACAGAGAGACAGTTGTCGAGCTCTAACCAACTGAGCTACAGAGAGACAGCTGTCGAGCTCTAACCAACTGAGCTACAGAATGACAGTTGTCGAGCTCTAACCAACTGAGCTACAGAGAGACAGCTGTCGAGCTCTAACCAACTGAGCTACAGATGACAGTTGTCGAGCTCTAACCAACTGAGCTACAGAGAGACAGTTGTCGAGCTCTAACCAACTGAGCTACAGAGAGACAGTTGTCAAGCTCTAACCAACTGAGCTGCAGAGAGACAGTTGTCGAGCTCTAACCAACTGAGCTACAGAGAGACAGTTGTCGAGCTCTAACCAACTGAGCTACAGAGAGACAGTTGTCGAGCTCTAACCAACTGAGTTACAGAGGCCAGTTGTCGAGCTCTAACCAACTGAGCTACAGAGAGACAGTTGTCGAGCTCTAACCAACTGAGCTACAGAGAGACAGTTGTCGAGCTCTAACCAACTGAGCTACAGAGAGACAGTTGTCGAGCTCTAACCAACTGACCTACAGAGAGACAGTTGTCGAGCTCTAACCAACTGAGCTACAGAGAGACAGTTGTCGAGCTCTAACCAACTGAGCCACAGAGGCCAGTTGTCGAGCTCTAACCAACTGAGCCACAGAGGCCAGTTGTCGAGCTCTAACCAACTGAGCTACAGAGAGACAGTTGTCGAGCTCTAACCAACTGAGCTACAGAGAGACAGTTGTCGAGCTCTAACCAACTGAGCTACAGAGAGACAGCTGTCGAGCTCTAACCGCAAGTAGGGTACTCCCATCCTCATTTGACCGGGAATTGACGAGTTCGATTGCTCCTGTATCAAATGCCTTGAATGTAGCACTGTTCACAGTACCTCCCAGCACGACCTTTTCGTTGTTTACACGAAGCCTTGCTGCCCCAGACTGGCAGTAAGGTAGCAAGCTCTTTATCAACGTCAAAGTTCTAGCAAAAATTGAAAACCAAAAGACATTTAAGATATCTTACCATGCCCAGAAAGTAGAATACAACATTATTTTGGAATTCGATTCCCGTGTGGTTGAGGTCAGGCCCTAAAATTCTATACACCCACCTTCTCCTTAGTCTTCCCGCAGTCGACAACAAACACGACATCATCGATCGTAATACTAGAAAAGTAGAGAGTATTTTTTTTTTGTTTCTGGTGTCATACACTCAGGTGAACAAATATGTTTATGTGTTGTCTCTGCAGAGTTTGTCCACACCTAGACTTGCCACAAGTCGACCTCGAACGAAACGCTGAAAAGTGTGCTTGACCATGGTGGGAATCGAACCTACGACCTTTGGTTTGCCAGTCCAATGCTCTACCAACTGAGCTACGAGGTCAAGTCGGTTCGAATGGGTGGTATTTCGGAACTCAATCTAGTTCCATCGATATCAATGTGTTTTTACAATCTGACAAAAAATTTAAGATTACTAACATCAGTACCGCATCATTTCAACACTACTGTTGCAAAGAACGTTCCAGGTTATGAATGTGCAATCCGCAAAAATGTTGGGGGGATCAGCCCCCAAAACCGGCATGAAATTTTTAACAAGGGGGGCTCACCCTCCTGAGCTTCTAACAAGGACTGACCTCCCCCCCCCTGGTCTCTGTCCTCTGGTCTTACCTCGTTTCGGCCAAGTTGGTTGAGAGAACAATTTTCCTCACACCACGAGGAGGTCTATCAAATATCTAGAAAAAATATCCAAGGGGCAAATCACTCATAGAACGTGTACGAGACCTTTTGGACTATTTTTAAAGTCCGGACATTTTATGGAATTTTCTCGCAATTTTGTAGGTAATACAGCAACATTTTGCAATTATAAAATGCAATTATATTCTCCCGAATAGATTATAAAAAAATATTTGTTAGAAATATTCGTTCCGGAGCAGTCATTCTGACTGTCCATAATTATGGAGGATAAAATTCCATCAAGTAAATAGACAGATATAATTTTTGTTTTGAACAGAACTGTAAAATTGGACTCTCCTTTTAGTTAATCAGAATCGAATCGAGTAATTTTTTTTCATGTATATTATAATTTACCTGACGTTGGTTTACGGTTGGCATGAGAGAGTGTAAAGGCAACACGAGAAATTTCTCTAAATAAACGAAAAATATCAATGTGGCAAAATATGTCAAACTATAGCAGAGTTGCAAAAAAACAAGCAAAAAACTGCGGGTAACATACCTGATGAGAAAAAAGGATTTTTTTTCAGCATGTCATGTAACGTAGAAATATCCTTCCATCCTGGTAGAAACACCAGAACAGCCCCATCCTGAACCACAACATAGATACAGTAAGAATAGGAATGTATTGGGGGGGGACTCTGGGGGAGACTGAAGGCGTATTGGGAGGCCTGGGCCGATATCTTTTTGCAGATTGCACAATCATTGCCCGGAAGTTCTTTGCAATTTTGAAATTTCAATAATTTCCAACCATAATATTTTAGTAATCTATCCTACCATTAGATAATTAACCATTAGATAATTAAGAAAACAAAATGCATGCAATATATAAAGATAAATCAAGTATACAGTAAAACCCCGCATATAAGAGCCTAGATTTTCCAAGTTAGCCTAAACAGGTTCTTATGTAAGTGGTGCTTACCAGGAAATTAGGCTAAACAGGTGCTGCAATCTCACAATAATATGAAACAATTTTTTCACATCTCTGAAGATGGTTCTTAAATAAAATCACCTGCATATCACGGCCAATATACATCAACAGTCGCTCCACCAGACAGTAATCAATCGTGTCAAAATCCATGCTTTCTAAACACTCAACTGTAAACGTGTCTTTTTCCCTAATGAAGCAAATCATTACTTACACCTGTATTCTAAAAGCTCACTCACATTAACACTCAATGAGTGGAGGTTCAATCTGAGCTTCTCTTGAGTGTCAATGCTGTTTTTGAATAGCTGGAAGGTGAGTAGTCGCATAGTAAGCTACGTCACTAACCCTCCAGCTATTCAAAAACAGCACTGACACTCAAGGGAAGCTCAGATTGAACCTCCACACTTTGAATGTGAGTGAGCTTTTAGAATACAGATTAACCGCTCTCCTCCGCAGAGCCACCTTAAGTAGGAAACACATGAATTTCCAATCCAGGAGACGGTTGTTCAAACCTGGTTTAAGGCCCATTTCCGGCATTTCTCTGTCAAGTATTTTGGTGTGAGTCATTTAAGGCCTTAAAAGTTACCAAACGTTTCCAGAAAAGAAAACTCTCATTGAAGAAATATTTCCAAGTTTATACTGTCTTAGCTGTTGGGAACAACAGCGGCCCAGAGTTTTTATGACATGGCCTTCAATACACGCGTAAAAATTGAGAAAATCAACAACTTGTTCCAGGTTGATATGAACAGGCGTGAACAAGGTTGTGCGGCCCACTATGAACAGCATTGTCAACCTGTTGTTACAGCATTGTTCAACTGTAACAACTTGGAACAACATGGTTGACAACTTGTTCATAGTTGGCCGCACAACATTGTTCACGCCTGTCGATATCAACTTGGAACAACCTGTGCGTTTTTAGCCGTGTAATAATTCTACCTGGATTGCACGAGATTTAAATAATCTCTCCACATTTCTTCTTTTCTTCGCTTCTCATCATTTCTCCTCCCTCGACCTCGGTGGAAATGTGTTTTTGTCTTCGGTTGGTATTTGTAACTGCAGTCATAAACGAACAGGGATTTTTTTGTTAGGACCTGCACAAATGACACCGCAATCATGGAAATACCATTCGTAGACGTTTTTCAAACTATCTTGTCTTACTATTTTGTAAATCCATCTTATTTTTAGTTAAAGGCACAGTTCAGCCTTTTGAATGATGGTTTTAAATTTAAGGTGCATTTCAATTGAAAAAAACTAACTCGGAAAATCAATTATGCATACTTCAAGATCACCAAACTTAATGTTTTTAACATTTTAAAACATTTTTATTGTTAAAAACATTGAACTTACTGATCTTGAATTATGATTTTCCTAGTTAGTTTTTTCAATTAAAACGGCTAAAATGTGCCTTAAAAACAACCATCGCCAAAAGGCTGAACTGTGCCTTTAATACAAATGTCCATGATCGCTATAGAAATAGTAACCCCACCCCCCCCGTCCCCCTAGTACAATGTTGGTTCAAACTATGATTGTTGGACAGCAGGCCAAGGGGGGGGGGGGGCGGAGTGGTTGAAATTTTTCAATATAGTCTACGATGATTGCGGTTTACATATACTGTTCCCCTCTGTCCCAGTCAATACCTGAGGATTTTTATGATTTCCTCCAGGAAATGTTGTCGAACTGGAAAGGTGAAACCAGGGATATTCAACATAGGACAGTTATCTAAAATAATCCAATAATAGTTTGAATCCGAGTGGAATGTATGCGAGCATCGACAGCGTTTAAAAGTCGTCGCGAAAATACTTTGGGCAAAGGATAAAACTCGTCTCCGCTTGCAAACCCTATTGACTCATAACGAAAGTTCGAGTTCCTATCCCGGTCGGGAAAACTTCTTATGCAGTTTACTTTGACGTAATATTTATAATCCGACTACGAGGACTGGATGAATGGGGACTTGAAATCTAGTCCAGTCCAAATTAGAGGATTTGAAATGACATCTCACACGAATAAATCACTACTCAAAGTGAGGTACAGTACATTAATTTTGATCAAGTCCAAGGACTTAATTAATTTTGATCTACTCCTAGGACTGGATCAATGTACTTCATCAGGTATTCAGTATTATCATGTGAGCAAAATAAAGCAATACGGTTGGCTAATTTACTCATGAATTATCAATGAGTTTGACTAGATAGTGAAAGAAATCACGTGCAAATTTTCTCTTGATGTTTTTGTGAGGGATGATTCCGTAACATAATCGCCACACTTCAAGTCAATTCAACTTACTAAAATACTGCGAGAACAATTCAGCATTCAACGTCGCACTCATGAGAACAACTCTCAGATCTGGTCTGTACAAAAATAATCCGTGTTAACAAGAACTGGATAGAGTATCCTTTTGGATTCGATCAGCCATCACACTCACATATTTGATTCAACAAAAGTTACACTACCCTATACCTTCTAGGCAAAATATCTCGAACGACAATAAGCAGAAAATCCGAGTGAATACTTCGTTCATGAATTTCATCAATAATAATATGACTTGCTCGAGTAAGATCACTAAAACGAAAAAATGAACTTTTGTTCAAAAGTTGCCCTTTTATATTTCTCCTTAGAGTAACCTCAAGATTTGACAACTCAACTTACGGATCACTGATCAACCATCGCAACACAACTCCCGTTGTACAGAAGATAATAGAACCTTGGTCACGTGGTAGCTGGCTAAAGATAAATCAGAAAAATTAGCATATTACTCGGGAGGCTTCGCGAATGTGAAGTCCCACCTGACATTTGATTCACTTGGGAACCGAGCCAGCCCCGTTTGCCGGGTTCCATATGCAAGCCCAGCCCAGATACTGAGGCGTACCCAGTCTCAATGTTTTATAACAAATTAATAGTTGCTTGAAGCAAGTCTACAATATAAAAAGCAGGCATAAATGTCAAATACCTTTCAAGTCGTATCTGATATCCTGTGCTTCCATTCCCAACAGTCTCGCCTCGTTCTTCAGACACTCTCTCTGCAATCTAGATAAATATTAATATAAAAGACCTTTATATAATCAAGTCATCGCTAACAATAAAGGGCTCTAAAGCATCGCAGTCCTGGAAAGGAGTCTCTATCAGCCAAAGCTAAATACTTTCCAGAAAGGTGTATTGCCGTGAGTACCGCGACACAGAATAGGACTGTACAGCAGAAGTGTAACTTGAGTCGGTTCCTTTATTGTTTTACGTCTACGAAAATTTTAACTCGCTCACGCCATCCTGGCTAGTACAACCGGAAGTTTTTATCAGGTTTTGGTAGGTACAAAGTGCCGGTTGTACTAGCCAGGATGGCGTGATTGATGACGAATTGCTTGTAAAAACGCGGCCAAATACTTGCTTGAGTTACACTTCTGCTATACCTTCTTATTCTGTGACCGCGATATAAACCCAGCCACAAAGGTTAACCTCGTTCCCAGGCTCTTTCCTCTACGCTCCTAGCTGGAAGCGTAGAGGAAAGAGCCTGGGAACGAGGTTGCCATGTAGGTTATCCAAAGTCACTTACAGATATGGCGCTAATTCTTCGAGGTTGTGTACACACCACCCTACAGGTAGATCCTTTGCCTTTCACGATAGCATCGTCCAATACAAATTGCGCAACCTGTAAACAAAACAAGCGTTGAGCATCACCATCAACCCCTGAACCCCCCCCCCCAATCTTTCGGGAAGTGTAACACCAGTGTTTAACTCTACCTCATCCGCTTCTTCACTTTGGATTTTCATATCAACGCAAAGTCTTCATGGGTATATTTTATGCAACGTCGTGACTTCCATAACAAACAATATCTTCAAAGGCACAGTTCAGCCTTTTGAATGATGGCTTCAGCCCTTTTAATAGACCTTTCCCCTTTTGAGTGAAATTTTGATCTAGACAAATCTGGACAAAAATTTCATCACAGCTTGAAAGAGCATCACAAAATTAGTAATATTCCGAAGTTTCGTTGCGACATGTTGTAAAATGCGGATAATATAGCCTTGCGAAGTTTGCCGTTTTTAAGTCATTTGGTATTACAAATGGGAAATTGATAATCAGATGATCAAACTGATGCAAAATGTTAGATTGTAATGCAAAATGACTGAAAAACGGAAAACTTCGCAAGGCTATATTATCCGCATTTTACAACATTTCGCAACGAAACTTCGGAATATTACTAATTTTGTGATGCTCTTTCAAGCTGTGATGAAATTGTTGTCCAGGTATATCTAGATCACTCATAAGGGGAAAGGTCTATTGGAAAAACTAACTAAGAAAATAAATTGAGCATAATTCAAATCAGTAAACTCAATGTTCTTAACAATAAAGAAATGTTTTAAAATGTTAAAAACATTGAGATCACTGATCTTGAATTAAGGTCCAGACACACCAGACGCGATTCGACAACGCGACGCGATTTTTTAGTTTTTGAAAGTTAATAAAACAGCCAATGAGAGCAAATTTTGAAAGATATGTAGACCAAATAACTCAAAACGTTATAGCGCTTCTAAATATTTGGAAAATTTAAACAAGGATCAAAGTTATCGGTCAGTGAAAATCGAAAAATCGCGCCGCGTTGTCGAATCGCGTCCGGTGTGTCTGGGCCTTTATGCTTAATTGATTTTCCTAGTTAGGTTTTTCAATACACACTTTCCATAATTACGTCACACATACTTTTTGGTCCAGGAGCCTCGCTCTCATTAGTAAATTACGCAAGGTGATTGGCTCACGATTCATGAGAGCGAGGCTCCCAGGCCAAATGACGTAATTCAAAAGGGTGAGCTGCGCCTTTATACCTGAGTGGTCTTTCCGCATCCTGTTTCACCACTGATGACAACAACTTGGTTTGAAGATATCAACTGGACAATTTTCTATTAAAATAAATACGTCAATTATAAAATATGAAAATAGTGTATAGGGCTGTGCGTAAACCGAAGAACTCGGTCGGTACGAGTCTTTTTTATCACCGAAAGTCGACACCGAGCATGCGCAAAAGAACAGGTAGATTCGTTTTCCGACGTGTCGCCGCTTCGTGTCTGAGAGATTTCTTTTTTATGCTGAGCGCAAACAAAGACATTTCTTTTTTCATAATTTTATTTCAGAATATTTTTGTTTCATTTATCTTGATTAGAGCTGTGCGGTTCCAAAAATTTTATCTCGGTTCCGGTTTCGGTTTTTTCGGAACAAAAAAACCTCGGTTCGGTTCGGTTTCGGTTATTTTCAAAAAAGAAGAACAGTACAAATGCATGAACTCATTTATGTATGTTTCAAGCATTTTTACTAAATAGATGAATTTATGCCTTTGTAAGTTTGTATAAATCTCTGAATATTTTAAAAGAACAATTGGAATTTATTTATGAAGATGTAATATTTCTTAGTTTTTAAAAAAATTTAAAGCAAGTTCACAAAAATAACTATCACAACTAAAATATCAACTATTTGAGCACTTAGTACAGTGCATATTGTGCACAAAGAGCACAATCTTGTTATTTTCCAAACATTTCAACCTGCAATCAGGTGGGCGTTAAACGGGAAATTAAAACCGAAACTACCGGTTTTTTGCGTATAGTTTTTCGGTGCTGAAAAAAGTACCGGAAGAACCGAATTTTTCGGTTAACCGCACAGCTCTAATCTTGATGTAAGTCGTTTACTTTGATGTTATACTACAATTTATTGAGCAAATGCTTTGAATTGTCCTTCTTTAGAAAACACCGAACTCTGGCACCCAGCGCTAGGACTTACATCTTTCATTTCATACGAGGGCAACTTCTTTCTGAATTCCTATAAAAGAAAAAAAAACACAAGTCCCAAACCAGACCAGGAAATCGTGAAATTTTGTTGCAAAGAAAGGATTTTAGATTTTGTTTGGCAGAAAGTTTTGGGCTAGTAACAGTGGGAAATGCCCAAAAACTAGACTGGTGGTAATAAGTCTCAACACTTGGTCAACAGTCGCCCTCCACCAAACCATAACCAATGTTCAATAAGCACCCACCCACCTAAGCACCCACCTACCTATCCACCAACACACCTACATATCCACCAACCCACCTACCTATCCACCAACACACCTACATATCCACCAACCCACCTACCTATCCACCAACACACCTACCTATCCACCAACCCACCTACCTATCCACCAACACACCTACATATCCACCAACCCACCTACCTATCCACCAACACACCTACCTATCCACCAACACACCTACATATCCACCAACCCACCTACCTATCCACCAACACACCTACCTATCCACCAACACACCTACATATCCACCAACACACCTACATATCCACCAACCCACCACCTACCTCTGCATAGAGAGGAAACTCATTAGAGTTACCCAGTACAAAATAAAGTTAGTTTAGTTGAGGTTTACTTCTGAAGCTACCTCTAAGGAGCACTTAACAGTTAACTTTTGAACTATACAAAACTAGCTATGCATATAACTTACACAATTAAAAAAAGGCTAAAATTGTACAGTACGAAATGTGGAATGAAACAAAATGTTAAAAAAATGTGAAACGACTTCGTACCGACATCTGCTTATAGGTTTGGTTGTACTTCTCCTTGTTAATCAAGTCCTTTTTCAACCATTCATTCATGCCTTCATCATTTCCAACAAGAGGTTTTGGCAAGCGAAAATCATCATGATGATTGTCCAAGTTTGACGTCGCAGAACCGCCTGAAAGAAGATAAATTCTCAAACCACAATCTTGGATTATAGCCGCAGGTGCGGCTTATTGGCAACTCTGTATCACACACAATTTTTCTCGGTGTGATGCCTTATGACTTACATTAACAGCAAAAATATTGCCATTATGTGCATGTACCTGCTTGATCCATTGACGACGGTGCATTGTTCAAGCTTTCCAGCATGTCAACTAACTTTTTCTCATGTGACTCTGTCATTTTCACCTCTTGACGCTAAAACAACAATTAGTAGATACTACTGAGAAGAACAAAAACAATATTAGCCTAGGATGCTTTTATCTATCAAATCTGGCTGGTTCACATTATGATAAAATCTTAATTCTGACATTTACCTGCTCACGTTCTTTTCTAATTTTTGTTTCTTGTGATTTTTGCTTATAAAACAATCCAATCTGTGCACCAGTCAATCCAGGGGGGTGACCACCCCTGCCACCCCTCCCTCTATTCTTATGCCACAACCCAATCTGTGGACCAGACAATCCGGAGGGGTGACCACCCCTGCCACCTCTCCCCCTACCCCTTCCTCGTCTTCCTCTATCCCTGTTTCCATAGTTACCATGGTTTTGACCACCTACAAAAAAATCAAATCAAATCATGTTTAACTTAACCCATTCACACCTTAATCCATGCATCCAACTTTTCTATAATAAACACATTACAGTCGATTTCACGAAACTTTCGCCACAAATGTTCCGAACTTCGTTACAAAGTTCGCAAGTTCATATTGGAATTGACAAGCCACTTTGTAAACAAAGTCCCTGATTGGTCCGTGAAGTAAAAGAAGCCAATCAAATGCGTAGTTTACAAACTGGTTTGTGAATCTCATTATGAACTTTTGAATTTCGCAATGAACTTGCAAACTTTGCAACAAAGTTCGGAACATTTGTGGCAGCACTCTCCCCCCGTCTCTCGTTAGACAGAGTAAAATAATAAAGTAGGGCGCATCTGGGCACATACATTGCCACTTAAAGGGTTCCATTGCACCCCATTACCCCCAATGTGCCCTACTGTACTCTGCCTAATGTGAATTAAGCAACATTTGTCTGCTTTTTATAAAGGCATACAGGGTAACCAAACAGTTTCCAAGGGCACATCAACAGTGGCGTAGCCAGGCCAACAATTTAGTCCCGCTATGCAAATTCAATCTTCAATATTATCATTATTCATTTCTTTAGAAAGAAGATTCATTTCTTTAGACAGTCAATGAACACGAAAATATTTGCATATAGCGGAACTAAATCGTCGTGCTAGCTACGCTACTGCACATCAAGACACCAAATAGGTATTAACCCTTTAAGAGGCAATGCACCCTACTTTCATATTTTACTCTGTCTAACACCAGCTGCAGTCTAGCTGGACCTCGAACAAGTGTAAACTTTAAAGAGAAATGTACACGGCTAAAAACGCACAGGTTGTTCCAAGTTGATATCGACAGGCGTGAACAATGTTGTGCGGCCAACTATGAACAAGTTGTCAACCATGTTGTTCCAAGTTGTTCCAGTTGAACAATGCTGTAAGTCTGTAACAACATGTTACTTGACAATACTGTTCATAGTGGGCCGTTGAATACTGTTGATTTTCACAATTTTTACGCGTGTAACGTCGTTTGGCCTGGGAGCTTCGCTCTCAGAGGCCAGATCGAGGCTCCCAAGAAGAAAAAGTATGTGTCGTAATTTACTATTGAAAGGGTTATAACGGTATTCAGTGTGCTTACATACCTCTGTTGTACATGATGGATAAACTTTGAAATGCTTGTTGATTTTCTTTCAAATAATTTCATTCATCCGTCACAAAATTCTCCAAAAACAAACCTTTCTGTAATTGTCACTTTTCACTCCATAACACCGAATGGGAAATACTTCATCTTATGGCGATATAATGGAAGAACATCCTCCGCAGGCATCGCCTTTAGATTGGTGGGCAGAATTCGGTGCGGGCTTACTGATCAATTATTAAAATCTCAAAACATTTTATCCAATCACATCACTACAATTTTCCACAATTGAATAAAATTTTCTTGGCAAGTATTTACCCCCCTGAAATTGATTAATATTTTAGGGTTAGGGTTATATTTCAGTAAAAAAATTGACAAGTTTAGTCAATATTGGAAAATTTTAGTGACAAAATTTGTTTTGGTAAAATTTTTGGAGATTTTAGTAATTCAGTAGATATTTGGTACAAATTTGTGTTAAATGGTATCTTGTGTAATGGAGATGTATCGATGTTCCCACACATTCATGTTCAATAGATCACCATATATAATTATAAACGAATTTAAATTATAAGAACACAGTTCTATACTGGTATATTTCACAGATAAATGTCATGTTCACAAACCAAACTTAGCATGCAGTATGTGTTTACTTGAGCAAGTAAATACTAAAAGATCTACCTATTGTAAAGTCACAAAATGAACACAATCAAAATTTACAGATCATATTATGGAGAACTACAAGCATATATGTAAGAACTTTCAAAATGTTTTGAGCAATACAAATTGAGGATTGCATTCAAATAAAGTTTATGCCTTGATTACATGTTATGGAATCATCTTCATGAGCCGACATCACCGTAGCCCTCCGAAAAATGATGATTCATTTTCTCTTTGAGGAAGTTTCTTAATTAAAATGATCTTGTTTAATTAAACTGACCAAGTATAACAAACTTGATTGATTACAAATGACTTAATCCATTAAGTTATGGGCAGGAGAATGTTTTAAAAACATTCTGCTACTATTTCGCTCTGCTTATTTTGTCTCTAGAGAGCACACCTTATGGCGCCATAGCAGTTGAAGGCATAATAGAGTAAACACGAGAAATAAAAACAGAAAAATCACCATCACCGCTCAGTAATCAAGGCATAAACCCGTTCATACAACATGACTGGTATGGAGCAAATAAGAAGTTATTTCTGATCAATTTCCTCTTCTCTCATTGTCCAAGGAAAAATATTACAATCTACATTTTGAAGAATGTCCAAAGTAGCTGTGTTAGTCCGAAGGTCTTTTCTCAGCGTGTTTCTTGGTATGTTCTTCGGCATTCTTCATAAATTTCTTCCTATCTTTGGTATATTCCTCAGCTAGATCAGCACGCAATGGATGCTCGGGTTCTGGGTCTTGCACCAATGCTACCAGTGCTTGTATAACTACGAAATATAAATTAAATACAGCAGAGTTGTCAAGTCATATGTCATTTCTTGCACGTCAAGTCATTTCGTCCGAGACCAAGTCAAATCACATTGCCAGAAATACAAGTAGTGTGAGGACAAATTTGACGATTAAACGTAGTGCTCAGAATGAAGGAAATGGCATTTCAGGGCTTCAAATTTCAAAAAAATCCTGGGGGAAATGCCCCCGGATCCTCGTGGTAATGCACCCCTCTGGAAAAACCTCCACCCCCTCTAACAAATCAGGCCAGATCCACCCCTGCTGTTGGTCCCAAAATCAACTCCTCATTATTTCATGAATATTAGAATATTACCTTGGTCAGTTTTTGTGGCAGGTTTCCAGTTCTCAGCACCAATAATCGGCAGACACACTTGGCCTTTCTCGTCAATATTAGGATGATATATCTTTGTCTTAAATGTTATCTGAAATAGGGTAATACAATTACTGCTCACTGAACTCTATATACATTCTGGAGCAAGATATAGAGTCCAAAAAGTGATGCCAAGATGGCAGAAATTGATAAACTATTATTGGACGTCAATTCCAGTCCCTAATATATAGCTCCCATTCTAGGGGAGGTCCCCATTTCTCTATGTGGTGTGAGAAAACTTTCTGGTGTGTGTGGGGGGGGGGTGCAAAATATTTTTGGGGGTGCACACCCCCAGAAAATCCATCTATGGACAAAACTGACAGACAAGCTAATGCTAACTAATTATACTGTTACACAGTGTTATAACATGATTAAGAGTGACCGGGCACTGGCAATGGTTTACACTATCAAAGTTGCCTACTAGGGAAATTCTATGTTTTGAAGGATTTGTGAGAAAGGTTTGAGGGAACTCATTGTTTTAAACACCGAGTCAGTTGCCTCAAACATTTCTTACAAATCTCTTCTTCATAAAATGATATTCTGACCTGTTCGCAGGACGATACACAGTACACACAATTATGGCAGTGCCACTTAAAACATTTTATTACAGTATAGTGATAAATTGAAAATTTCTTACCTTGGGAGGCTTAAAAGGATATTCAGCCGGAAACACAATTTCAATTCTAAAAGCACCCTTATTATATGGGGCAGATTCCTATGAAGAAAACAAACACTTTCAACTTTGTTTTTATGAAAAACAGTCTCACTTGTCAAGGGGAAAAAGGTTGGGTATTTATTCAAACATGCATAGCTTGTCACCTGTTTAGGTCTGGTAATTATATTTATATATGCTCACTGGATTACCCACAAAACCCAGCATGTTGGTATTGGCCAATATCGGCCCTTGAGTATTGGTTATTGGAATATCTGTAAATTCCCATACCGGTACATCACTACCTTAGAAAAACCTTCAAACCAGTGAAATATTTGCAAATATAGCCCTGTTTACACTATGCTCAATTTTTGGTACAGAACCGAACTTTTGGTACAGAAATTGGTAGGTATACCCTATATTTTTAATTTGCGCTCGACCTTGATAAATAGGTAGTCCGAGAACGGATAAAAATTGTACAGGTACCAAAATTGAGCATAGTGTAAACAGGGCATATGGTACAAACGCAATGCAGCGATTATTTGGTAATGTTACTCCAGATCAACTCTTTCAAATATGACATGTCCGTTTCATTTAAGCTGGTGTGGCACAATTATGGGGACTCATTTCATTGGTGGAAAATATGTCGTGCTAAGATGAGCAGTGCCGATCATTCATGTACGGTGCATTACTGGTTTTGAAAATTACACCAGCAACAAGAATAACCCACCAAAAGGGCCTTTATTCAGATGTCAATTTACTTACAATTGTAAACAATCAGCAACTAGCAAGCTGATTATCCAAGAGCACTATTTGTAATTTGCAACTAGCCTAAATATTTGCAATTACACTATATATAATATAGCTAAAATGCATGTTAAACACTCGTCTTAACAAGGAAATACTTCAAAACTGACTGATGTGTTGCTAAATTCATGAATGATACCAACAAGGTGACCTATAAAACATGATAAATTATGCTGTTTCCGCCCAGTATCTTGGAAACAGGTTTAAATTAAATCGAATTTTGACAACTTACGGGTACAATAAGTCCTTGCCAATTTAATATGTTCGATTCATCGACTCTAATGTCACGAAAAACTCTTATTCCAGACTTTCTTATGTCATTCAGTTCCTAAAAAAAATACAAGAGACTTCATTCACAAATCACGATCGTAATCTCGCCCAGAGTCTTACTTCCTTTCAATAGCTTTTGGCTGGCAGATTGGGCTCGCAAACGCCGAGAAAACAAACAATTAGCGAAGCTTAAACGGCTAAACACATTTGACAAGTTAGCGCTCGTAAAATACCTAAAACTAGAGTGCTTTTCGTCTACGACTGAGATATACAATCAAGAAGATACAATAGCTTTTTATGACAAAGCGAAACTATGGCTCGGAAATGGGTTACGTTTGGCGCCGAAATACTGCACAGAAAACCGAGTTTGACCAATAAAAATGACCTCAAAATCCTCATTAGTCTTCGCAGAGTGTACAGCAAAGCTTTATGTGAAAATAAAGCAGTAAAAAGCAGTTTTTCTTACCTTAGTCAACCTTCGTGTAGCAGCCATGCTGAATTTCTACCTGTGAAGCAATCGGCGCGGTCTGGGGAGGGGGGCTAAGCACTAAATGAGTTTTTCTTTCCCATAAACCATTGCCCTTCATGCAGATTTCCTGAAATTCCCACCCGTCGCTAGCCTGCGAACAGGCTCTCTAACCCGTCGCGGAAATTCCGTACATATATTGAAATTCCTGGAACGACTGGACGAGGTTGTTTTGTTACATTTATTGGACCTGAGTTTTATACTGTTGACCTGAGTGTATATGTCCCCAACAGGATTCGAACCTGCGGTACCCTGACCTCGATAGTTTAATTTGACAAGTTTTATAGCGTCATGCTTTTAATGAACCTTTTTTTCCATTACGTGTATTCCAAATGAAAATAATCTAAAAAGTCCTGGAACAGTGAACTCAGTTACTTTACCGGAAACTGAAGGTCTTGCTCCAAATATATATATAGCTCACTTGACACTGCACCATATACTGCACTGTATTGCACTGTATGAATTTCAGATGAATTTCTATTAATAATTTACTAGAATTTGTTCCCAGATCTCCGAGCACTCGGGCATGGAACAATTTTATATGGATAATTTTCAAACTTTGAAAGTTTCATTACAAAATCCCAAGCGTTTGTGATATTTTTGAAGAATGCCTGCTGGAAGACACCGAGCGTCTGCTAACGCGCCAGACAAGGCAACAGTTTCGGTAAATGAAAGAATTTTGAAAGAGTGTCATGATCTGTACATCGACAATGAGAAAGGTGACTAATATAATATGAAGTATTTTTGGCCGGCATATAAATATTTGGCTATTTTTGGAAATATATTGATCAGTATTGAGACAGAAGTCTGAAATATTGTACCTTTTGTGTAATATTAATACTGAGTAATCAATGATCGATATAGCATATAATTTTTTTTTAATAGTTCATGAAAATTTTATTTTGTCGAAGGACCTGTTGTTATTAAAATGCACCAGTCATTTCAAACCCCTGACCCCCCAATATCCGGGGCATCCACTTTCTATGTACAGTGTGTACAAGCTAATGAATTTCTTGGTCACTGGGGAAAAATAGCAGCCGGATAAATTCCCCCTGGGGATACCAACCATGCATTTTCAGGGGGGAGGGGAGCAGGCCTCAGAGTCCAGGTCGGCAATCAGCAAATGCAGACCTGACTAATATATCCCTAGCCCCCTCCCAAACAGGGATGGAACTAGCCCTATTTTATTGGCAGGGGTGTAACTGAAAATTTACCAAGTCATTTCAGCACAGCTGCAAGCAATGCAACTATAGGTGGTCTGGCAGGAATCTATATACAAGAACTTATGGTCAGGGTGCAATTGACTCTGTATCTCGGTTAAAGCACTGCACCGGAAGTGCATGACCACTTGAGGTTCAATTCCTGCCAGAGGGCCTCCTATAGTTGCATGGTTAGGTCTAAAATTGTATCTAATATTACATTCAAATTTTCCATCTACAAAATCCCCCAAATCTCATAATATATGGATGTACAACATGCCTTTGCAAAAAGCTAATTTTTTTATTTTTTAGGCTTGGCAACAATCGCAAATGGACTGGACCTATCACTTCTTGCTCCTCGAAAGAAAATAAATGTCCTACTTATTGGTAATCATTCTGCCGGCAAGAGTTCATTTGTTAACTGGTAAGGGATGCCGGACGGACCATTATTTTTTTGGAGGGGGTGGCAAATTCTTAAAAAAATTGTTTGCAAAGACAAAAAAGTGAAAATAAATTGTTTGCACACATAGAGAAAAGGAAAAAAATAGTTTGCAAGCTAATGAGATTATGCAACATCAACCAATGCATAATGATTTTGTTTGAAATGAAGTGCAATATCTTTTATACCAAGAACAATATAGAAAATCTGTAAAAAGTATTTTGAAATATATTGAATTACTCTTGCAAATTGGAGAAACTTAATTTTTATTGCTAATAATTTCCCGTTAAGGTATGTTGAGGAACACGTGCAAAAAACAGGAGTAGCCATTGAAACGCAGGGATTTACATTTGTCACAAGTGGACGGAAGCGAGAATCACTCATGGTAAGTTATGTAATATTTGAAATCCGACTACAAGGACTGTGTGCATGGACTAGATTTCAAGTCTGTGCAATTTGATCAAGTCTGAGACAAAGCCAAGGACTGGATCAAAATGTGAGGACTTGAAAACTAGTCCAGTTCGAATTAATATTTCATCTTTTTTAAACCGTTATAGTTCCATACTCTACCAACTGAGGTCAAGTCAGTCCTAGTAGCTCAGTTGGTAGAGCATTGGACTTGCAAACCAAAGGTTGCTGGTTCGATTCCCACCACGGTCAAGCAAACTTTTCAACTTGCCCGGTGTGGACACACTCAGAGACAACATCACAAACATATAATCATGTTATGTTAGGCCTAAGGAGGGCTAGGGAGGCCTAAGGAGGGCTAAAGAGGCAAGTTTAAACAGTTAAACATCAATATTTTATACAGGGTCAAGCTACGCTGCATCTATATCCACATTTTAAAGAGCTCAAGGACTTTTCTGGTAAGAGTCTGGCTATATATACACAGTATATTTTTACAGTACCTCCGCTAGGAGGGTGTGTTATTGATTAAATTTTGGTTCAATGTGAATGAAAATTGGCTGTCGGTGTGATTATTCATTAACTTAACTGTTTGTCATATTCTAGGTGTCGTTGAGTATCTTTCTACTGAGATTTCCACCTCAAAACAAAAGAAGTTTAGTTTAGTAACGTTCGTTGATACCCCTGGTTTGGTTGATGGTGACATGAAGTATCCATTTGATGTAGATGAAACTATATTATGGCTAGGTAGGGTATGCAAGTCATTTACAAGGTCATTTATGCACTGTATTTATTAATAGCGAAGTTCAAATATGACGCACTACACACCTACTGTACAAATCTCACATCTTGTAGCAAGTCTGCCAACAAGTCGTCAACAAAATGTGTTCGCACTGCCTGTCCCAAGTTGTCAACAAGTTTGGAACAAGCTGCTATCACAACTTGTAACAACCTTGTTGATACTGTAAGTTCTTCTAACAAGTCCAATATTAGTGTCTAGTCCTTCGGACTCATGTTATTTTGATGCTCTTTGAAAAACTCACTCGTGCATGTTTATCCAAATTGCACTCGAAACCATTATTACCATTACCATATTACCATATTATTATTATTAGAATTGTTGCTGTTTTTAAATAAATAAAATAATATTTTTTCAATTTTTTCTAGGAAACCGAGCGGATCTAATATTTGTCTTCTTTGATCCAATTGGTCAAGCACTATGTAAAAGAACGTTAAATATTGTTGGTAAGTCCGAAACAAACTCATAGCAAACTTGCTCATCGGTAGCCATCTTACAGTAAATAACGCTATAACCAACCCCAACTCAAGCAAAGTTGTTTTGTTTTCGTGGTAGAAAAATTAAATGAAAAACAGCCAGATCGAATCAGATTTTACCTCAGCAAAGCAGACACGGCCGGCCATGAGAGCGACAGACAGGTACTAGCTGTGACGATGAATGTGTTTTTTAATTGGTTGTATTCTCTGAGTGCCTCCTAGTTGATTCTGATTTACTTTTAGCGAGTGCTGATGCAAATAACACAGGAACTTTGCAAGAGACCAGGGTTAAACAAAGCTGGCTTTGACATGCAAACAATATATGTACCAAGTTTGACCGATAAGGTAATTATTATAGCCTTTCAATTTTATAATTTTATTTCAATTCTCCTGCTTTGTCGGGAGTCATGAGGTTTAGTTGGATTTATGAAATAAATGATATTAAGAACGAGCTGAGTGTTGTACTTTAGTGCCTAGCAGTAGAGTGCTCAGAGGTAGCCCGGCGAATGGTAATGAGAGGCATTTGCATAAAAATAAGCAGAAACTCGACGTTTCGAGCGAAGGCCCTTCGTCAAATCCTACCTTATAAAAACCCAGTTCTCATATCCTACCTTATAAAAACCCAGTTCTAGGGAATCTTGTCAAAGATTAGATACTATATCTAATCTTTGATCTTGTCCTCAGTCGTGAAAAAACTGTTCCCTCCCACCTCACAAGGGGAGCATGATTCCCGCACCACCTGCTTGAGAACTTTTCTCCCGCAGATCGGAGTCCCCAATCACAGCTCTCTCAATTATATTGCAGTAGTTTGCATTCCCTGGGGTTGTCTAGGCAACACTAACCAGCTCGCCATTTTAGTTAACGCTCCTCACGTGAGCCTGAGTCACGTCTTTCGTACATCTCAGCATATCCTCGCTTCCGTAGGGGAGAAGGGAGCTATGAGGTCACAACAACGTCTTTATGTGTTTAGCCTGCAAAATGTGCAAATCAAATCGAAGAAGTTTGCAAAGAAATTGAGAAAACCATAAACCAGACAATTCAAAACACATTGAACACTTTGGAAAAAGATTGTCAGAATATATCAACACTAATTGATAAAAAATTAAAAGAAGATGGGTAAGTCATGAAACAACACGAAGTGTTACGTTTTGTTTTATTTACTTCATAAGCTGCAATGCGTTATTATAAGATCAGTGCCACTAATGCGCCCTACTTTAGTGTTTTACTCTGTCTAACCCCCCCCCCCCTCCCACTCACCCGCTCTACAGCCATGGGTAACAGTCAGGCTTTTAGCCAGGGTCCTAAAAGTGGGCGTCCAACTTTGGTTTTACGATACATCTAAAGTAAAGAGGGGGGGTTGTTATTTTGGGATAGTAAATTAGTAAACATTCAGTAACTCGGCGTGATCCTAACCTTAACATGATTTCTAGTGAGAATCGTTCGTACAATCTTTGGGCACGCATCAAGAGTTTTGTGTTCATTTTGCTTGGCCTGGTTATGCCGTTTGCGCTAATCCTGAGTGTTCTAACAAAGCAAGGTGAAACACTACAGAGACTGATTGGTGAAAACATGCTTGAAACTCTTCATATTTATACGGTAAGCAATGACTCTACAGGCAATTTATGCGTCCCAAATACGTCGGTTAATACAAATACTATTATAGGTGAAACGTGGCCAAAAATTTCCATCCTGATCAAGTCAAAGACAAGTGGATGAAGCGTTTAAGTGGAAAACTTCGTCCCAATTGACTGAGATCTCTCTTGCATCTTTTATTTAGACTCCTGTAGAGAAACTATGGAGTTCAATACCAGCACGTTATTATAACCATTTCATTATTGCTATTGTACTTTTCTCATTTCTCCTGCTAACTTTGGCGAAATTCACAGGAAGGTAAGCTCATGTTTTGCCGATTACGAAATACTCCCACCTTTCGGGGGAGGAGGAAGAGTGTCAAGAGTTTAAGTTTTTATTTTCAAGGTTGAAACCTACATTAAGCCGTAAACAGCAGCGTGTTCTGTCTGAAAAGAAAAATTTCGTTCAAACTGTTGTCCATCCGAAGAGGGTAAGTATTATTTATCACTTACTTACTCATGAGACCGAGGGAAACAACGTGCTTTTCACAAAACACGCTGTTTTCTCTCACAATAACAGTCATACAATATTCTCAAATTATATTAATGACTTTTCTGTTTAGGAGAAGTTGTACAAAGAATATCTACAGCAAAGTGTCGCTGAACATGATTTATAGACTTATAATTATTACAATACATGCGCTACTGTAATTCTAAATTAATTTATGATGATTATTGTATTAATTGTTTTTAACTTATAATATTGAATAGATCGGATAAAGTTTTGATCAAGTCCTAGGACTGGATGAAGTTTTGATCAAGTCCTAGGACTGGATAAAGTTTGATCAAGTCCTAGGACTGGATGAAGTTTTGATCAAGTCCTAGGACTGGATGAAGTTTTGATCAAGTCCTAGGACTGGATGAAGTTTTGATCAAGTCCTAGGACTGGATGAAGTTTGATCAAGTCCTAGAACTGGGTGAAGTTTTATCAAGTCCTAGAACTGGATGGACTTTGATTAATTCCTATGACTGGATGAAGTTTGATGAAGCCTTAGACTTAGGTCAGGTCTGACTGAAGTTTGATCAGTTCCTAGGACTGAATTGATCAAGTCCTAGGACTGCATAGCTTTGATCAAGTCCTAGGACTGGATGAAGTTTTATCATGTGTCAGAACTGCAACTCCAATGAGTTTGAGATCATGTCTTAAGGAGAACCGAGAACGATTCATTCCACTTCCCCTGCCCCACACACACACCTGTCAATGGTAATCTTTAGTATGGTAATCTTTGGTATTGATCTTTCCAATATAACAAACTGGACTGCTGATAATCAAATGGAACTAAACGCAACAAAATGTAAGACCATGCACTTCTGAAGAAAAAGAGCACCTACGCGAACTCAGTATTCAATCAATGAGAACATACTCGAACAAGTGTCGACCTCCAAGGACCTTGGTGTGCTCATATCCAACAACCTATCCTGGTCGAAACACATAGAAAGCATTGTATCCAAGGCTAATAAAACACTTGGTCTCATCAAAAGGATTTGTAAAGAAGTGAAGAATACCAACACAAGAAGAATTCTGTATTGTGCGCTGGTCAGACCCAAGCTAGAATACGCAAGCAGCGTGTGGTCGCCTTACACCATTAAGCATTGTTTGCTCATCGAGAATGTTCAACGGCGGGCCACAAAATTTATCTTGAATTATCCTGACATGTCGTACGTGGACCGGTTGCAGAAAACAAATCTTCTACCACTGGAATTCCGAAGAGAACTTTCTGATCTGATACTGCTGCTCAAATCCAAACACCACCTCATAACAATGGATATAAACAAATATTTATGCACTTACAATCCCAGCTATCAATCTCGCAACTATGACGAAAATAACTTCCACCTCATTATAAAACATAATCAGGAATAGTTTCAAAACTCTTACTTTATTAGATCAGCAAAACTTTGGAACAGCCTACCAACTGAAATTAAGAAATCCAGTAGTTTATGTTCGTTTAAAACTCGTTTAAATAACTTATATAGTATCAAGTCAAAATCATACAAACTTCCTAATAACCGTAGCTAATATTTAGTTTTGTGAAGAAAATGTTTGTAATATAAGTACTAAGTATTTAGTTCAGTTCAGTAAAGTTCACTCACTAGCTCGGTGTACGAACAACCGTAAATCAGTTAGAATTTATATAATGGTGTTGTCTTGTAGCTTGTTATGTATATTGTTTATCAGTGTCATTGTAAATATTAGTGACAAATTTAATAATATAATATAATATATAACCACTGATTCACTCACCGGCAAACCCACTATCCAGTTTGGACGTTTGAGATCAGTGTTGTTAGCGCTAAAAAATGGCAAAACCACCGCAAAATTTGTCGTCCGCATGAAAAAAACGATAGAATAGCTAATTTCCTCGGTGCTAATTTCAGTAATTCGTTTTGGCCTTCATGTCAACTTTGGCTTGGCAGTTTTTGAGGACGATGATGCTCTTATAAATCTTCCTAAATTATTTCCTGTCTGTCGAGAAGGTCTTGAACAATGAGCAGCAAGTCCTCTGTGAGTTCGAATGGTTCAGGAACAGACAATAAAGCTGGGCAAAAGAAGAAAGGTGGCGGGTATCTTGCAAGACAGGCCAAGGCAAAAAAAACTACTGTCACGGAAGAGGAACTTTCTGCTAAAGAAAGCATTTCTCCCGAGGATGTTTTAAGACTGGCTAAACCCACTTCAGGTAGGGAATGAATATAGAGAACTTTCTTGTCTGTTTTTGAGGGAATTTTGATAGAGACCCAAATGAAAAGACGACCTGTTGTCGACGTGTCTAGTATACACCAACACAGCATCTCGCAAGCTGACCGCAAACAAATGTTATAAAACTCTCATTTTTTATCAAATTTTAATCCCCTTTTAGACTATCTCTGCGATAAGAAGGCAAATATTTACGGTATTGAGTTCACGAGATTTAAAATTCGCGATATGGACGGGGGAAAAACATTATTCGAAATCGCAAAACCGGACGAATTTGAGTTCGCCGACGACGAAGACGATGAAGCCATCGGTGATGAGATCGTTGAAGACGACCCTAACGCTGGCCGTTTTGTCCGCTATAAATTCAGTCCAGAGTTCTTAAAATTGCAGACTGTTGGAGCTACGTGAGTATTAAAGGCTGCAGCGTATATATTTGTGTAGGATTTAGAGTTAAAAGTTCAAATTTTGCTAGCTTTTGCGTTGATGTGTTTTGATTGTCGAGTGTTTGTTCTCAACTTTGAAAGTGGATTATAAGCGTAGATTTCTTCTCTAAAATCCGTTATTGTACAATGGATTTTCGCTTCATAATAAGCCTAAATTACAGATAAATCAGCCAGTGACCTGCAAAATTGCTGGCGAAAAAAAAACATACGATTTTCGGGGGGAATATTCAACCAAAGTAAACTTTAGCGTGCGTTTGGTTGTCATGGTAAAATTTAAACGCACAATTGCTACAATTAAAACTATATTAACATATTTAACGATTTGTCCCCTTTTAACAAGTATTCTCTAAGACCCTGTTTACACAGTACTGGCCGAATTTTGGACCGGCTTGAAATTTGTCCTTTTTCGCCTGTTTACATGCGAATTCGTCCTGTTAGGAGTTCTCAAATTTGTCCGGTTTTGTGGTTCTTGTGTGTTTACACGGCCGAAACGGATGAATTTCAGCCCGGTTCCAAATTCATCTGGTACCGTGTAAACAGGGTCTAAGAGTTTTAGGTATAAAATCTTCTACCCAAATATTTGAGAACCAGTTTCATGAAGTAGTTATATGGATGATAATTTTTTTTTTACTTCCATTTGCCCCAATAAATCAATAAATCAGAAGGTGATTAAAGATATTAGGGGCGGACCATTAGAAAAGTGATGGGGGGGGGGGGACTTTTTTATTAACTTGTACAAATATTTTTTTTAAATTTTTTGCTTGTGTTGATAATTTTTTAAATTTAAATATAATCCCTTGTACAATTTGTTTATTTCAACTTGTAATTTTCCCTATTGAAAAGTTTTTGCACGAATGTTGTTTTCAAACTTTTGCTGCACAAATTTTTCTTTCTGTTTCCCCTGTGCGATTTTTATTTTTGCTTCCCAGCTCCCCCCCCCCCCCCTAATGGTCCACCACTTACAATGTAAGGGATTTCATAATATTTTGTATTGTCTAAAAATGTTTCAAAAAATGTTGAAATGCAAGATTTTTTGTTGAAAAAAGCTTGAGCTTTTAATGATATTATGCAGCTGAATTTCAAAAGATCTGAAGTTCTGCAATTCCATGAATACCATGATTGTGACAATTAAAATGAAAATGAACTGATCAGCATTTTTCAGAATGCTTCTACTAATACAAAGTGTTAAAAATTTTAAGAAACATATTTTTTTTGTATTTTCAGTGTGGAATTTGTTGTTGGTGACAACCCTGTGAGTAATTTCCGTATGATTGAACGACATTTTTTCCAAGATAAATTGTTGAAAACATTTGACTTCTCGTTTGGTTTCTGCATACCTAACAGCAAGAACACATGTGAACATATCTATGAATTTCCCAGCTTATCAAGTGAAGAACGTAAGTGTCATAAATCCAAGCATGTTTTCAAGGCATCAATAGGACATATATACAGTACATGTCAGAATGAGCAGAGAAATTACCAATAAACATTTCTCCTTGAACATTGAACATGGTATTGGTACAGTTCTGTTATAACGACTGTAGCTCTTGGTTTTTAGACAATAGTTACACTTACAAATTAATATAATATAATTTATTATTATAACAAACTCAATCTCACCAAACCCCAATCTCATGAGGGCTTTCAAAACCAACTGGTGGCTACCGGAGCTCCAGCAAGGTGTTTACTGCCGGCTACTTTCTTCTGTACTGTACATCAATCTCTCTTTTTTTTGTGGTTTATGGCTATATAGTATGCCTGTTTTCAGCATACCTTGTTTCTATTACCGTCACAGATTTCTGTATTGTAATGTTGGATGTTTTTAGTTATTGTGCAGACGAACACACAATACCAACTTAGTTGAAAACATAGTCTCATGAGGTTATAAATATTCTTGTTTTCTTATGTTTTAGTTCAAGAGATGGTGGACCACCCATATGAGGCAAAATCTGACAGTTTTTATTTTGTCGACAACAAACTAATTATGCATAACAAGGCAGATTATGCTTATAATGGATAGGAGTGTGTATCACTATGATATTTTAACTAATATTTCAAAAAAATTTTAATATATTTGTAAATAGATGTAGGCATAATTGATTGCAATGAACATTCTATGTGTAGTGAAATTACACGGTGGGGGTTCCAGACCCACAATAATTTCTGAAAGTCTTTGGATGACAGATGAATAACTGTGTAACAAAGCTATAAAAATCATTTTTCAACCGTGAAAGCATTGGTAGGCTATAAAATTATATTGGTAGGCCATAAATTATATGTGCTCACCCAGGATATATAAAATTAAGCTATATATTGCAAGATGTTTTTAAAAGGCAAAAAAGTTAAACTGAGATTTCCATGAGCAACAAAATGTAGTTGGTGGCGACTTAAATTCACGTCCCCAATGTCTGCCACTGAAAATACTGATCTTACATATACGTTATGTTCAGTGTCCATAAATAACCTTCAAAATTATTTTTGGTATGTGTAATATTTGGGTCATTCTAAGAAGAATTGTAATATATCTTTATAGAAAAACCTGATCTGTAGTTCCCTTTAGAAGTTGCCATTTTTTTTTGGGCTGCTAATTTTTATCTAGCATAAAAGTGCGGGGCTTTTTACTGTAAGGATATATTACATTTTTAGAATGATCCAAATTAGCCTCTCTATGGGTTTACTTTTAGCCCGCGAATGGGTCCCAGAAATAAAAGAGTACGTACTTGTTAGCTTGCTCCTCATTAGCATTCTATTGTCTTATAATCCTCCAGACTGCTTTGCGCGTTTGATAAATACTTTCACTTGCTCTCGAGGTCGTGAGCGCGAGGTAAATTCCTTCGTTCCAAACAAAGCCGGAAGGACTTTGCGAAAGTTTACAAGCTCACCAGACAGGGTTACATTTTCATGTCAGGGATTGGATTAGGTTCCGTGATTGCGTGACCTGAAAACATAACCCAAGTCAGGCTCTCTACTTCCGCTTCTCCCCAAGCCCTTGGAGAGTGGAGCCGCTTGGTTTGCGAGTTGCTTTCTCAGCACATTTCGGACGGCCAGTGACCATTTGAAATTCAGGCTACGGAAATTGTCACTAAAAATGACAAATTAATTAAAGAATCAATACGGTGAGTTTTTTAATTTACTCAAGTTCAATCGTGCTCAGCTCAAACAGAGTGTTTTAAAATTTGTACCGTTTACTCAGTTTCGTAATGAATTGATTCACTTGCTTTCATTCGTTGTATCTACGGGGTACTACTATATATTATCCACCGTACGTATTACTGTAAATACTGAAGTTGTCAAACATTTGATTTGTTTCGGTGTTCAAATATCGCCTTGGTAATTTTGCTGAATCAGCCATTTGAATTGACTAAAAACATGCCCCGTTTGATTTATTGGTATTTTAAATTGGTATTTATGTATTCCAATCTTGAAAGAATTATGACGGTGACGAGTCACAGGACGAAAATTGACTATATAAGTATGATTAAAGTATAATTTTGAGCATGTAGTAAAACATGGACTACACTCGGGCCCACTCGACTAGGGAAACATGGAGTCAACGTTTTCTTAAAAGCCGACTGGCTCCTCGAGTGTAAAACACAGACTCAATCCATCTTTCCGAGTCCACTTCGTGTTTAGCCGGAGTTGGGATTTTCAACAGCTCATGCTGTTTCACATTTAAAAAAGCATTTCGACCACATTGGTTCACATTAGTCCGAAAAGTTTGCTTCCGTTGCTTCTTCTGGTGTCCGCGAATCGTCTCATCGGAGGCTTTGATATTATTTTGTCCGTCCGTCCGTATCCGCATTCAGTATCCCACCCTTGGTAGGCTCTTTACTTCCGCTTTTTGAGGTGCTTGCGAGGTTGAATTTTGGTATAATTTCTACAATGTATATATGTTACAGTAATCAGTAATTTTTCTTTGCGTTCCGTGCACGTTCGAGGTTTTTGCGATTTGATTTTGTGCATGTGTCGAGAAAGTGCCCTGCCCTCGGTGGCTCGGTCACTATTTCGCGCCTTGGCAAAAAACCTCTGGGAAAAACGCGGTAAAATGTCACAAAAAGGTCTAAATTGTCTACTCTCTACTGTAGTGATTATCGGTAATTGCATCCTATAAATTTTACGCTTTCACGCTCGTGTTACCTGTGTTAAGCCCTGTTTAAACGGATCCAACATTGTTGGGCCAACATCATCCAACATTGTTGAAATAATGGCCCAAACGCCTTCTTTTTCAAATATTTTTGTCAAGACTAGGTTTTAAAGTTTGAGTAAAGCTTATCTAACCAAAAAGATTTGAAAGAGAAGCAGTCGTATCTATTATAGTAACATTGTTGGATGATGTTGGTCCAGCAATGTTGGATCCGTTTAAACAGGCCTTTACTAAGCAAACGTACGTGACCCATGCAATATTGTACAATGCCTTTTTATTCCGAAAGAAGGTCATGAATGAATTATAATCGGACAATGTCTTTCAGCAGTATGCGTGAGCACGTGTCCAGCTAATGCAACGAACATGTCGAAGTTGCGTGTTGATTTTTCAGTAAGAAAGCTATTCATTTTAGCAATACAATTTCACGGCATAGTGTAAGGAAGTAATCTCTTTTCAATGCATTTAATTTTGAAAAGAAATATTGTTTATATTGCTGAGAAAAGAGCGTGAACTTTACCAGTTGTGGTTGCACGTGAACAGCACGAAGCATGAATGGCGGGTCTGTGAACTTTGATCCTCACAAGCTCAAGCGCCATTATCAATACGATTGCCATGTTTTGAGCGTGGTGTTGTTTATGTTCGTTCGAGACGACGGATTAATGCTTTGTTTTTCATGCTAGAAGACGAAGGAATGAAATCTCATCGGCCAACACATCAATCTGCTTTGGTTCACCTCGCCGCTGGAGGGTAAGTTACGTCAAAATACGAAGTGAAATTTAGACGCGCGTTTTTACTACGCTTCGTTGTGTTGAAATCTAAGAACATGTGAGCCATTTGTTAACCGCCAAACAGCGTGAAAATTTCATGAAAAGCTGCTAAATACATATCGTGACTACTTTAGTATCACTGAATTGTCAAGAATTCACGATAAATGCTTAGTTTTAGATGTAATAAAGTGTAAATTCGTATCCTCATTTACTCATTACGCTCTGCAAACGCAATAATATAACTTAATATAGTACAACTCGGTCAATCGTTTTTCTCTGCATGAAAGTACGGTGATTTTCTCATAATCTTAGTAGGTAATTTACAACTACAGTTGCAAATTGTGTGGGCCACAGTGCTTAAATCAAAGTCGCAGTTTCTCAAGTGTTTTTGCAGTTTTTCATGTGAATAATTTATCATGTTTTTTATCTATTTTTAACCAAATAAGAAATGAACTCGTGTTGCCCTTCGCTACCCGTCTAAGGTCATTGGAATTTTGAGCATATATTTCCGTTTGAATATAGAGTGTATTAGTTATTAAATATACTGCAACCCTGGCCCTGTACTTCTTATTTTTGGAAGCCAATTTTACTGTGAACATGTGCTGTTTATGTTGTACATTTTTAAGTTCTATGCAATGCATTTGGTTGAGATTGCATCATTTTTTTTGAGGGGAGTTGCCCACCTCCCCTGGGGGGTTTTTGCAGCTACCTTGACTGAAAAGACACCTGGGTGAATTTACCAGCTAGACAGGATAGAAATGGGCCCGCACCACTGGGATCATTTAAATAGGCTCTAATAGTCCAAAACAGAAGATAAACAAATTTTGAAAAATTGCATCTGGCAAATACATGATATATCAGGACTAGATTCGAGACAAATTTTATGGTGCTATTTCAAAGCCTTTAGTTAAGGGCCCCCTATACCTCTTCACAATATGCTTTCACGTAAAAATATTTTGCCTTTTCACGAGTCACGGATTAAGAAAATCATCGATCACGTTTCACTGCTAAGTAAAATAAGCCCTTCACGCAAAACGTATAGGGGGCCCGATCACGTTTCACGGCGAAGTAAAATAAGCGCTTCACGCAAAAAGTATAGGGGGCCCTCTTAGTTGGTCTGAGATATTGCAATGGGAAATCATATTCCAGTCAATGCTAATGTTTCTAAAATCACTTATGATCTACTTTTTTGTAGTGTCGGAGGGACTGCTGGAGCAATTGTAACATGTCCTTTAGAAGTGATCAAAACACGACTACAGGTAAATATCATATATTGGAAAACTAATTTTCCCATAAAACTAACAATGGTTTTAACTGAACCATGTGTGCCAGACAAAGTGACCAATTGACACAATGGGTCGTTCCAGAAAAGATCCATACTCCCCCCCACCCCCCATCACGGAGGAAATTTCTGCCGTCCGGAGGGGGAGGGGATTGTTTCTGATAATAGGGGATCCTGATTAGGACATCCGAAGGGGGTAGGGGGTTAACTTCTTATTTCCTCCGTGGGGGTGGTATGGATGTTTTCTGGAATGACACAATCAAATTTGCATCTGTCAATCAAAATGGTACAAATCACAGATTTATATCAGATATACAGTTATATCAACACGAGTGGAAATTGGGAAAACGAGAAATTGTGTGGAAGAATTCAGAATTCAGAATTTACAAATGCTATATTATATATATATATATATATATATATATATATATATATATATATATATATATATATATATATATATATATATATATATATATATATATATAGTAACTTTGAATTTTGTAACTGATCTAATTAAAAACATTCTAATGTTAAAAAGTTTTTTAAAAATTTTGCTAAATTTTCGGCTGTAAACTGCTAGCCTTCTTCTGAGCAATGTGGCTATTAAAGTCAGATTGAATTGTTGTTTTTTTTTCAACATGTTTTTTAACATTAGAATGTTTTTAATTAGATCGCCTCAACAGTATATATATATATATATAATTTCACTAAATTGTATACTATACTAATTTATTTATTTTTTGTCTTCACTAGTCATCCATTCCCGTATTCCGCCCAGCTGTTGCATATTTTCCTGGTAACGTCACCTTCTCTTTTGCTATGGAGAAAGTACCTGTTGGCATTTTAGCATGCACAAAGTATGTGTGTAAATATTTTGAAAGGCTGTTGCCAGTATATGTAGTAAAAAGACCGCTTGTTTTGACTAAATCCATCTGATTCCAGGTTTATTTTTTGTCATGTGATCACTTTTGTATTCACTAGTATATATAAAAGCTTGTTTAATTTTCCCGATCCACGCTATAAAAATGGATGGAATGATATTAATAAATTACGTATGTTTATCTTTGACGTATATTTATTGTAGACATATCATAAAGACTGAAGGAATGAAGTCGCTTTTCAGAGGATTGGGTCCAAATCTAGTTGGTGTTGCTCCTTCAAGGTATTACAGTCATGTTTGGTTTAACCCAGCTAAATTTGGCTTGTTTGAACAATTTTTACTTTGAATACTTTACAAACAATATAGTAAGCATGCACTTTTGTGTTTGATCTTTTTAGAGCTATCTACTTCACAGCATATGCAAAGACAAAGAGTCTACTAAACAATTCAGGCCTAGTAAAACGTGACAGCAGCTATGTTCATATGCTTTCTGGCCTTTCTGCAGGTATGGCATGGTGCATTTTCACCTGTTCTTTATCCTCACTGTGAGACATTATATCAGCATGTTAACTAGACTTGGTCCAAGTCTCTCTTTGTGGAGACCCACTATATTGTACATCTATATATTGTACATCTATATCGTACGTTACATGACGTACTGCTGAGGGGGAGAGGCGGAAACGTAAGAAGAGAGGTCATGTAGTGTACAATATATAGATGAACAATATAGTGGGTCTCCACAAAGAGAGACTTTCAGCAAGTCTACATGTTAACACAAATCCCCTGGGGTCAAACCGGAGGGGGCGGTTAGGAAATGGCTCACACATTAATGTATAATGAGAATGCTACATGGATCTGTAAATATCATTTATAGGTGTAACATCAACCACAGCGACATCTCCTATATGGGTTGTAAAAACAAGACTTCAACTAGACAGTAGGTATGTATGCCAGCACCTTTAATGCCATTAATACTCAATATGCTCACTTGGATTATCCAGCATTCAAGTTCAACCGAGCATCTTTCAAATTGGTTGTAATTTAACCTTTTATGTTTTTGCAGTGTGGTTAACAGATTTGGTATTCTTGATTCCATCAAAGAAATCTACAGTAAGGATGGGCTTAGAGGTTTCTACCGCGGACTTTCTGCTTCGTATTTTGGAGTCACCGAAACGGTCATTCATCTTGTGATTTATGAGCACATTAAGGCAAAGATCAATGGCATGCGTGGTATCAACAAGGATTATGGTAAAAAGCCGAGAGTTGAGAACTTTATTGAATACATGTTTGCGGCTGGAATGTCCAAAAGCATCGCGTGTACCTTGACGTATCCGCACGAGGTTGTCAGAACACGTTTAAGACAATATGAACTTGACGGTCAAAGGAAGTACCACTCATTTTTACAGACTTTAATAAAAGTTGGGGCTGAAGAAGGTGCAAGTGGGTTATACCGCGGTCTCACCACACAACTATTTCGACAGATACCTAACACTGGAATTATTTTCTTGACATATGAAATTATTCTTAGCTGTTTCGAGAGTTGAATATTTTGTAGCATATATTTATATTTTTGCAGAGATGATTTAAGTTGTAAATAAGAAAAGAAATATTGTGTATGTTATAAGAATTAGCAGATCATGTAAATATTTTGGACACAAATTTGTACAGCTCTAACATTTGTATAGTTCTAATTAGAGAAATTAAGTAAAGATTAAATAAAATGTTATAGATTATTCACATGTGAGTACAGCTAGCATTTGTGTATTTTGATTTGTGAGAGACCCGTGGGTGTCTCTGATCTTTTAACAAGTCTCCAAACATAGTCTATCAAAATGTGATGGTTTGGAAACTGAATAGAAGTCATTATGTTATGTTTTTGTCTAACTTTCCGCAGATTGTTACCCTCTGAAATTCGGGTTATTTACACCCCTCTCATGGAATTTCCTATAAATTTATATGATTTCATTGCCCAGATGCCAAAATGTCTATATTCAGGGATGTATGGGGTATGGGCTGGGAAATGGAATCTAGACCCCCCTCCCATTTTTAGTATTTCACGAAAATTAGACAACACTATTTTTGTGGGACATATATGACGTCATGGTGTTTTGATGTATGGAAAATAGTACTCCGAGTTGGGAAGAAATGCAAGGTTACGTGTGTCGTTGTTTTTATGAAAGAAATATATATTTAAAATCTGTGGACTTACATGTAACTTACACTGGAAATGAAGCTGATTTTCGAAGCGCTTATGCCCAGGTAAAAGGACATATGTTAATTATAAACAAACCGTTTATACAGTATACTGACGCTTTGTTTACATCCTGAACTGCTATATTTGTATAATATGATATACTAACTCAGTATCTAACACTTCTCTGGTTCGCTATTCTTGTAAATGAATATAAACTGTACACTTCAATTCAAAAAAGTTCGAAAGATGCAAAATTTTAGTCTGCCAACCCCCCCGGCCCCCCCCCCCCCTGAAGCGGGGTGGGGGGGTCGGCTGAGATCAGTCTGCTAAATTGCAGACTAGCAAAATTTGGGCAATGTTTATATCTGTGGGTTCCCCCCCTGAGTTGGAGCCTGGGGATGAGGCTGGGGTCCCCCTTTGTTATGAGCAGAACTGATGCACAGAACAAACTTTACCTCAATTTCCAAGGGGGGTAACTAGTAATTTTTACCAGACGGGTAATTGGAAAAAATGGTCCCGAATTATCAAGGTCTTGGTACACTTACCTTGATAATTCTGGATATCAAAAAAAACCCATCCAATAACTTTCAAGATTGTTTTGTCGTATTTTAGTGTTTCTCTGATCTTGGATGCACTGAGGAAGATGTAGATAATTTACTTGTCCAGGTACGTGGGTCCATTTCATGGAAATGTTTTATTCTAGTGTTCATGGAAATATTTTATTCTAGTGTTCATGGAAATGTTTTATTCTAGTGTTCATGGAAATGTTTTATTCTAGTGTTCATGGAAATGTTTTATTCTAGTGTTCATGGAAATGTTTTATTCTAGCATTATCATTTCAGGTACAAGATGAAGTGAAACGAAGAAGAAATCTTCATTGTGAATCAGAGGAGAGGAAATCAATTGTTTGTAATCAATATAAAAGATTGCATCCTGAATGCTTTGTCGTCAAGGTACATTGGGACAAGGTCATAGCGCCAGAAATTCTTGTCACAAATTCTTGTCTGGCCGATTGTAAGAAGAAGCCAAAATCTCACTTTTCATCTTATTGATCTGTCAGACAAGAAAATTTTAATATCTTTTTATTGGTGTTTGTGTTAATTAGAGTATAGTACATGTTGTTCATGATATTATATATGTTATTGTGTGAAAGTGACATTTCTTCTGGGACATTTTGACTGGATACTAGCCTGCGAACAGGCTCTTTGAAACTAACTGGATACCAGCATTCTCACTTTTGAGGAAATTTCCTTAAACTGAGGAAATGAACTTTTTAAGGAATTCCTAAGGAATTTTACCTAATATTTGAAAATATTGAAATAGTATTCAAAAATTTATTATGCAGGAGTCGTTCTTGGATCCTCAATTTTTGAGAATTGTGAATTACGCGAAATCAGGACAAGCCACTTTGAAAGGTCTACTTTCTTTTCCTGAAGTAAAGGCACACAATGGTAAGAAACGCACATTTTTGAAAATAATCACGAGATTAGTTGGTTGAATGGCCATGTTACACGGTGCAATTTTTCTTGCAACTTGCAATGCAATTCTACTCTTGAGAGATGTAAAATTGCCAAGTACGAATATTCGTTACACTCCGCTGATGTTTCTCAACATAATGAAAATTCTTCACTGATTTCACTAATTAACATCTCATCTCTCAAGAGTAGAATTGCATTGCAAGTTGCAAGAAAAATTGCACCGTGTATTAACATGGCCTTAAAACACTTGGTTGTTACATGAGGTTGTTATCTGAGGGTGTTGATGCGGTATATCGTGAGTCGTGATTCACTCAATTTCGGTTACTGTCAGTCGTAAAAACATTAAAAATTTACCGTGAAGCGTGAGGGAAAAAATACTGTTTATCGTTTCAGAACACATTTCAAAGATTTACTAGTAAATTAAAACACCAATTTTTTCCCGTTTCCTGATTTTCAGACCCCTCCCTC